CCCGTTTAAACATGGAATCGGTTTCTCAGACGCGTATTCGACTTCGGAAAACGGCACTGTATATTTTCAGTGCCTCGGGGCTTTCAGATATTTATGTCCGATTTATGGGGTGTCTGGATTAGTCAATTTTCCGTCAGAATTGGACAGATCGTCTCTAGTTAAACTGCCCTGTAACAAAGATTTTCAGGTCAGAGTGCGAAAGTGTGAAGTTTCTCAGATAAAATAGCAACATTTCGTAGAAACTTCCGAAAATGTTTGTCCATGTATTCTCGATCCGTAACAAAATTTGTCGGTTTGATTACATATAAAATCATATTTTATTTGAATTTGCAGTCGGAGAAAAATGAAGAAATAAGTACTAGAATAAATTAAAACAACTTCTACATAAAGAGTACCGTTTTCTGCAGCTATCGATTTGATTTGAAAGCCAGATTAATAGAGAGCTAGAAAAGAACAAAAACAAAGAAAGGGAACTTTAGCATGCTCCCTTTTCTTTTCATGCTGCCATTTCCACGAAGATAAATAGAATTGTCAAGAAACAAATGAGAGTCTAATGACATTTCCTTTCTCTAAAAGGCACAAAGAGAATCGTGAATATGTACGAATAAATCATATTTAAATACCTAACCCTTATTGGTTTCTGCCAAATCGAGTATCAGCAAATATGTTCGTATAGTAATTCGTTTACTTCAAAATAATATGCGTCGAAAGAGCAAACAGAAATGAACTAACGGCGAAATGAATGAATTAAATATTCATTTCTTAAGAAACGTTAAAAATTTATGAGAACAAGATGGCAATGAGAAAGCCATTTAAGTAGGCACACGTGCCTACGACATTCTAAATACAGAATACTTAAAACACGAAGTATGAGTGTAGTGTAAGAATTTTTAATAAAATTTTTGTTTCTAGAGAGAAAGGATATGACTGAGAGTTATTCATAAAATAAATAGTTAGCATTAATAGTTATTGGTTTGTTAGTTATTGGAGACGAGAGACATTTTAATAGTTTTAATTCGGAATAGTTTATTCCTATAGTAAACAGAAGATGCTGTTTTGTTGGATCACTTTTATAGAAAACTGCGATGAAATCCCAAACGGAAGTTTATCGTAAATACATTATGTAGAATTATTAAAATAATCCAATAGGTTTCAGATTTTAAATGACGTCCGAAGGGGTGTTACCTTTATTTGTTAAATATCATGTTCTTAGACCATAAAAATCAGTTCAACAGCAATATCGGAAAATAATTTTAAAATGCGCATATTTTTAGATTCTTAGACCATAAAAATCAGTTCAACAGCAATATCGGAAAATAATTTTAAAATGCGCATATTTTTAGAATTTCCGATACAGTCTCGCGCGCTGGAGATAAAAAGGTCCCCCCCCGTAGAGTGTTGCCACTGCTCGCTTTTCAATCGTTGAGTTTGTTAATCAAAAATTCGCTAAGGTTTTTCAAAATATGAAATCAATAATAAATAAATTTCCAATTCGAATTAGGGCTTCCATATGCACATATTGTATGGAAGATTACATTATTCCAATTTTGATGGCTCTAGGTACCATTATTTTATCACGACACAAGAAACATATATACATTCATGCAGATTCTTCATTATTTAATTGGTTTAAGTATAATTCAGGGCGATAATATTGGGTGGCAACAATATGAAAAGTGATTCGCCGTTTATAGTTTTTAACGCAAAATGCCAAAACGAAATTAATAGTCCTGTTGGGCAAATTGCCCCTTTGGACTAACACTTTGTGTTGTTTATTTTAACACTTTTGTTGGATTATTTAATACTTTGTGAACTTACTATTGACAATGTTATAATGTTATTTTTTCTCAAAAGAAAACCAATACTGAAATCAGATTGTCGAGATATCTGTTTTACTCTCTGAGTAATAACAGCTTATTACTCAGAGTGTCTACTAATTGTGAGTTAATAGACACAAGGTGTCCCAAATCTCTCTCTATATAAGCGGCTAAAGTGTGTGGCGCCGATAGTTTTATGTTGCCACTCGGAAAAATGAGCGTGGAAATTAACGTTTTCGCAGTTTTTAATTAATATCTCGGCCGATTAAAGTCGTGCGAAGATGAGAACGGTATCGATGGATTCGGAGAATTTTTTGGAATCCGAGGATACGTCTCGAATTTCTAACTCGGCGCCTTTCCGTAGATATGCGAGAGAAAAAGAATTTGGCACGTAGTCCATATGCGCTCTAATAGAGAAAAACCCAAGAAAGAAAGTGGAAAATGTAAAACGGGAGAAAAATTATTTTTAAATTAATATCTCGGCTAAATAAAATCCCACGAAAACGCGAATGGTCAAAATGGCTTGCCTAGGACCTGCGGAATCAGACGGTGTGCTTCGCTAAGCCCGGGAACCAGCGGTTTCGGAGGAGATGATGTTACTTCACCCCATATATATATATGCGGCTTAAGTGTTTGTTTGTCGCCGATAGTTTATTGGTTGCTTGCGTAACTGTACTAGCCAATGGGATGAAGTTGCCACGGCACAGGGTTGCCGTTTGAATTGAGACGTAGACAATTTCTTGTAAAACTTGCCTTTGCTATGACATTAATAAGTCCCAGGGCTAAACGCTTAAGCGTGTTGGCATTATTTTACCTGAGCCTGCATTTGGACACGGTCAAATTAACGTTGCCTGTTCAAGAGTTCGTGAAAGAATGGACGTAAAATTAAAAATAATGATGGTCCTCTGCAAGGCGAGCTTAAAAATGATGGAAAGGTCTACACAAGAAGTGTTGCGTACAAAGAGAGCTTTGACATGTGAATTAACATTTTATTATTTAAATCACCTTTACTGATTGAGCTAGCGGTGGGCTCTTATGAAATGTACTGCCACTGGTTTCCTTCATTGCACTCTACTTTAAGCAGTTAAGCAAGTAGAAGGGGGAAGCCCCGTGGCGAGCAAGCAAAGGGGCGTCCTCGCCGCCTGCCCTGGGTAATTCAGTTTGAATTAGCAGACATCTTTGAAGAAATCATTTTAATTACATTTTATAATATCTAGAACAGCGGTCATTTCGTATGACCGCCAGGCTTTCAAGTAAAAGCATATCCAAATAGGAATTTGATAGAATACATCTATTAATAGTGTATATGGACATACAATGTAATGTAAAGCATTGTGAAGATCTTCTGTGAAGAGCAGTGTCTTCCTAACAGTATTAAAACAAATGAACATAATTCCGGTTCAGTTTGGGTATATTTTTATTTGGATTATCACCAAGAAATCACTCTTTAACTAGTACCAGAATCTCCGTAACTGCCTGTGCGGTTTCTTTTGCGTTTTTTATAAAACTTTGATTATCAGAAATTATTTACCACGCTTGATTTCATTTTTGACTATTTTGGCTGTCGGATTTGGTAAAAAATATTTGCGTATTTTTAAAAACTGCCTGACTCAATATTTTCACAGACTTTAAAAAGAAACTGAACTTGAAAAGGACTTCTGTTTTAAATACAGTTTTTTTACACACTGAGTACCTGTTATTCATTAAAACTATTTTTTGAAAACTAGCCGCTTATCTGGCTTTTAATCGTGCCGGAAAACCGCCTAAAGGGAACACCAAACATTAAATTAAAAACTGCACAGTATTTTACTCTGCAAAACAGCTTTATCAAAATAAAAAAAAAAAAAAAAAAAAATAAATAAATAAATAAATAAAAAAATAATAATAAAAAAAAAACACAAATTATAAAAAAATGTATTACACATAAAAACATTACAATGAAATAAACAATATCCATCAATATAATTATCCTAATAAACAAATAAACCAACTTCCAGTTGCAAAATCGTAAGAACAACAAATGATATAAGGAAGTTGAGAACTTTGTTTCCTAAAAAAATCCTGCAAAACGTTTTATATAATTAAAACATAATATAAAAAATTATAATGAAATAATCGATAAATCCCATATTTTTAAGAGAAAACAGATAGCAGTCCAGTATCCAAAGCAACGAATGAAAATCTGTTGCCAAAACCACATTTCTAAAAGAATGAAACTATCATCAGAAAGCAATAACCAATCAGATTGTGCTTTGTGGATGACATAGTCCAAAATGTACAAACTTCTCTGCAATTAGCTAATAAAGAGAGAGAGGGGGGGAAGGAAATTCTTTCTGTTGTGCCTCGCGAGACACATGCACGTCAGAATAAGAAGATTGCGAAGTGCGTGTTGCGCATATAATTAATAATATTTTATCTCATATTTTCAACAGTCCAGTATCCAAAGCATTGAATGAAAAACTGTTTCCAAAACCACATTTCTAAAAGAATGAAACTATTCAAAATGATGCGATTTCATGAAAAAAGCTAAAATTAAAAAAAAAAAAAAAAAAAAATTCGAATTTTGGAAAAAATCGCTTGCACTGGCTCTTGTCTATTTGCACCTATGTACCAAATATCGTAGCCCTGGGGTTTTCAGCTTACGTGCAGCACGAACGTAAGGTACACACACACACACGCCGAGATACTCTCTTTGTTTTATTATATGTAGAGATGGCAGTTGATTTTTACCGATAATTTCCCCAATGTAGTTTTTTTTTAAATTTTAAATAAAGATTATTGTGCGAAATTAAAAAAAAATGTTATCGGTCATTTCTTTCATTAACATAAAGAAGGTTTAAATTAAAGGTTTATATTGAGTTCTTCAGTTTAATAAAACTGCATTTGTAGTAAAAAAACAAGTCATTGCTTCTTGCGAAATTAAAATAATATAAAAATTAAGGTAAAATTAAAATGTAAATACACAATGCAAAATACTGTAAATTTCTACTGTACTGTAAATTTCGGTTGCGGCCTTCGAATCAAAGCAGACCGACAGCAAAAGCAAAAGACGATTTGATTTAGGTTAATCTAGAAGCTGGACAAAAAAATTTTGGAGACGATCATCGGTCGGTTTCAAAAGCTAAATCTTAACTTTTCTTATAGACGTTAACTAATTTTCATCCTCGTCGGAGTCGACGAAAGTAGAGTGAAGATAAAAATAATAACATAACATTAAACATAGAAACCCTACAATGATGTAAAAAGTATTTTTATTCATTTTCCATTGAACCATTTCATGTGATATGGAAATAAAACTATGTGCTTATATATAGAAACTAACTATTATACCTTAAAACAGAAAATAAAGATAACATAATTCCTGAAAGGGACAAAACAGTTACGAAGTGAAATGATTATATTCTAAAACTCTTCTCTTCCTTAAGACTGCCGTCCAAGGCCATCGTCTCTTCGATGGGATCTATAAGAAGGAAAAAGGAGCCAGTTTAAAAATTTCTATTTAATTTTAGCTAATTTTAACTTAGATAGGTTACTTGTGTAACATTATACTGCCTAATTTTGCCCTAACGTAGCTATTATTACAAATCGCCTTATCTATTCTGAATTTGAGTTACTCTAAGTGTTTCTAATGCTACTTTGCTTCAGATTTCCTACTAAACGATGTATCAGAACCCAAGGCTTTGATATAGACTTTTGGACACTGAACATGCTTCTTGAAGAAGAGTTTGCATCTTATTTTGGAAGGAGCCTCCTTCCCCGAGAAGACGTATATCTGCTGATCTATGCTTTGTGTAAGCCCTTGTGACAATTTTCGTGGAGACGATTGAACTGTCTCTGAGATACTTCGAGCGTAAGATACATGTAATATAGCTTGATAAATCGACATCGAAAGAAAGAAAGTTAAAAGTTTTAACGAATGCGTAATTTACAAGAATCTGTAGCCATCATGATCTTATCAATCAGTCACTTTGAATTTCGTTATATATATATATATATATATATGATGTACCAGCTTTTGTCTGAAATAAATAGATTGGTGAAGAATCATAGATGTAGTCGTAGCTTAAAGTTATCAGACGATAAGTTTAAAAAACAGGAATCCGTTTTATTATTGGTCAGAAGAAAGTAGCAGTTACAAAAATCATGATATTCCGGAGTAAATAAAAAGAAACTACTAATAACTTTTTATATGAAGTTTACTGCATCCTTACATTAAAGAAAAGACCCCCGATATTCCTTTGCGAGTCCTTTTATAGCCTCTGGGAAGGCGGAGCGAGCTTCCAAGAAATGACGTCAGCCTCGTCAGCCATTCCAGTTCGCTTTAAATATTTCCAGAACATTCTATAACTGTACGTGTAGAAAAGGCGGGAAAAACAACTTGACTACGGGGCTATGGATTTAATTCCACGTACTTTCAAATAAGAGACCGTCGCCATTAAAAAATGAAAAGAACATACAGTTAGAATTTTAAGTGCATTCTTGACTATGGAATTTTATTATTACACACATATATAAATATATCAAGACACGGACACACGACGGCAGCTTACAGAACAACATTTTCAATGAAATTGGTACACCAATAATTTCACGGCGCCCAATAAGTCCTCCACCAAATGCTTGATGCGATGCATATTTGTTTAGCAGCAGACGAGTAAGTTATCAGTAATTTCCTGCCAATTTGATCTCTAAAAAGAATTGGTTTCGTTCTGTATCAATCACCCATGTACAGATTAGAGTCTCGGAGAAAGCATGGATATTTATAAATGTATATAATGTCCGTGCGGCATGGGGGCATTCTAAATATGTGACGAGCCGAAAGTCCATTCGAGAGGTTGATGCCGAAAGTCCATGGAAACACTCTAAATATGCGGCGAGCCGAAAGTCCTCTCGAGAAGTTGGTAGTAGGGGAAGAGGTGTGGGAGACCTTCGGACCCGTCCTTCCCCCGAGTTGCCCTCCATCAAAATTGAATGCGTAACTGAGCTAAATCGCATTGTGACGTGGAAGGTGCTCTAGGCTGGGCTAGCTGTATAGGTCAGACAAGTAAGCAACATAAGCAATAAGATAGTTTATAGAGATTACGGCAAAGCACACTAGGGCTATCTGCCTAAGGGAAGGGATACCTTCGTGGAGGACTTTCCAAGGGGAACTGACTCGTATACACGTTACACATGGGGAAAACCACGAAAACGCCCATGCAGCCAGCCCGTTCGCGGGATTTGAACCTCGGACCAAACTACCAGTGTTCAGCGACTTTATAGCTCGGCCGCTGGTGGGCCTCATAAGCAATAAGAACAGCAACAACAATGAATACTACAGAGACAGGGAAAAAATTGTAAAATTCGCAATGAAATGTAGCTTATTTGTGAAATGGAATATACATAATACTTAGTATAATTTAAAAGCTAATGGAGATTAATAAGTTTGAGTTTGGATTCAGTTATTGTAACAAGGAGGAACATTAGTGGCATTAAAATGAAACACAGTATTGGTTGAAATCTTTCTAGGATAATACACCAACCAGATGAGAATTATAGCCCTTATAGTAAATGAAGCTAATATATAATCCGCTTTCTGGCACGGGGGACAGCTGCCATTCATAATGGCATCAGATCTATAAATTTGTGGATTTATTTTTCGCGCTAATATAAAGCCATTCTAGTATCATTCGGTCCGGAATTTTGATTGACTGGAATGGCTTTTGTTTTTGATTTTATGTTCTAGGTGGTTCGAAAGATTTTCTTTAGGAAGTTCGATAATTTGGTGGTTAGAGTATGTGACAGAGCTCCTCGGAATACTCTTCAACTCCTTAGGAGGCATTCAGTGACGATTCTCACTCGATGCGCTTTCACAATTACATCTTAGAGAACAGGTTACGACTTAGAAAATTGGTTTGTTTACCTAGTTTAAATTAGGAACTACAGCCCCCCCCCTTGATCTTCCAAAATTCGAATACAAGATTGTTCAGGAAGTACGCGGAGCGCCATCTATTCGTCAATATTAGACCTAAAACTTCGACGCCATTTTCATATTTGTTCTGTCTTAGGAACACGTCAAAAGTTTCATTTCGATCTGTTAATTTATTCACTGTTTAACCGCCGTCCTTTATATCTAACATGTTGTTTCTTTTTTCAGGTATGGATAAAATTGAGCAACGTGCAGTTATCAATTCTTTGTAAAGAAAGGTTTAAAGGCAATGGAAAATCATATCGAAATGGTGAATGTGTGTGGTGATCTGCTCCTTCAGAAACAAGGATTTTCAAGTGGGATAGGTTATCCAAAGTGGTCGTACCACCTTGAAGACGATCCGCGAGAGGGACGTCAAAAAACGCATCACAACCGGACTTCATCGGAAAAATACAAGATATGGTATTGAAAGACCGTCGATTTGACTGAAAGAGATTTAACAGAGGCTTTAGGCACTTCATTGGGCGCCACAGTGAGCAATTTTGAGTGCTAATTTGGGTTTCAAAAAACTCTGTGCAAAATGGGTGCCGCATTCTCTACGATGGAGCAAAAACACATTCGGATGGGACTTTGCCAGCAACATATGGAGCGTTTTAAGAAGAATAAAAGTGACTTTATCCGTCGATTTGTCACAATGGATGAGACTTCGGTCTACCATCATGATTCTGAATCAAAACAGGAGGTGAGCCCGGCTATTCGGCGCCGAAGCGAGTTTGTGTGCAAAAACCAGTCAAGAAGGTGTTAGCATCAGTTTTTTGGGATGCGAAAGGAACTTTGCTTATAGATTACCTTCAAATTGGCAAAACAATTAATTCGGATTATTATTGTAACCATTTGAATCAATTAGACGAAAAAATTCATGAAAGTAGACCCGGATTACAGAAGGAAGAGAAATAATTTTCTACCAAGATAACACACCTGTGCGCACACAGCTCAAAAAACCATTGCTAAAATAACTGAATTGAAGTACGAATTGTTGCAAGATCCAGCCTATTCGCCAGATTTATCTCTCCTCCGACTTCTGGCTCGTTCCCATACCTCAAACAATATCTTCGTGGAAAACGATTTTTTTCAAACGAAGAGGTAATAGCTGCTGTGGAGGAATATTTTGCAGAGCTGCCAAAAAAACACTACAGTCAAGGGAATCTATAAATTAGAAGATCGTTGGAATAAATGTATTGAAGTTGAGGAAAACTACGTTGAAAAATAAGTCATTTTTACAAATAAAAATTGGTTTCTTCATTTCTGTTCCGCGAACTTATTGAACAACCTGGTATATTCCTACTGATTCAGTCTCACTTTTACTACGAAAATGGAACACAACTTAGAATACACGAAACATCCCATAACATAAAACATTAACCTTCTGCTTATATCGTAAGTTCCACACAATCTTCACTGAAGGGTTCAGGTGGCTTTCAATGCACTTTACATCTGGCGTCATTACTGTAAAGATATAAATACGACTCAGAGATAGGACGACACACTTCCAGTGTTCTTCTACAGCGGAGATCTTATAGAGATAATCGGATACAGCGGAAATCTTATAGAGATATATCAGGTCCTAGTCTAGAGTAGACCTAGTCTCAGGTCAGTCTTGACCTAGCAAGGTAAGAAGACCTAGTCTAGAGTTTTATACAGTCAGTCACCCTCCTTGTTAGGGTAACTGAATCCAAACTCAAACTTATTTATCTTCATTAGCTTCTAGATTATAAATGTATTATTAACATCTGTTGATAAGAACAGCAACAACAATGAATATTACAGACACAGGAATGAATACTACAGGCAATGAACACTACAACAATGAATACTACAGACAATGAACACTACAACAATGAATACTACAGACAATGAACACTACAACGATGAATACTACAGACAATGAACACTACATCTGATCATCATTTCTTTTCGCGCACAGATGTTAAATATTGGAAATTTTCGCCAAAGTCTACTTCTTATATCCTTTGCATAGAAGTCAGTACTTTTCCTGAAACTGGAACATATGATTCGTCATCGATGTTTCCAAATATCAGCTTCCTTGTTGGGGACTAGGTTTCAGAAACTTCACATAAGAATCTTGGACAGCCCCAGTTAGTGAGTAATAATTTTAGACCACAGTTCACACTGCATTGGATTAGTTTTGTATTTTTTAGTCAATTCTATCTGCAAAATACTAAAGGATTTTAAGTCACGTTTTATTTGAACTCAACAGAAATCCTCTCACTCGGTGCTCACAATTTACAGCTCCTTTGTGGCTAAGTAACTTAACAGAAAACGAAAAGTGCAATCACAATAAAAGTAAAGATTTCCAACACGACTGGCTTCTTCTTTATCTAAACTTCTAAATCGGCTGCGCACAGCAAAGCCTAGCATAGCCTAGCAATATAATGTAAGCAGAATGGCTAAGCACCAACTATTCACGTATAAAGCTACTTCAAACGCGCGGCATACTTCGAAACTTACTCTCCTCCTACAAACTCTTTAAA